TCTTGCCTCAGCCTCCTGAGTAGCCAGGATTACAGGCACGCGTCACCATGCCCAGCTAATTTTTTGTATTTTTAGTAGAGACGGGATTTCACCATGTTGACCAGGATGGTCTCCATCTCTTGACCGCGTGATCCACCCGCCTCAGCCTCCCAAAGTGCTGGGATTACACGCGTGAGCCACCGCACCCCGCCACATCAGCTTTCTAAGTCTCCAGCCCACTCTGCAGAGTTTGACTTGCTTGCCTTCATAATCACATGAGACAATTCCTTAAAATAAATATATTTATGTTTACAAATAAAATATCTTTACTAATTTATTAATTATATTATATTTTAACACAAGCGTATATGTATCTATATATAACTATATATGTGCGTGTGTGTGTGTATATATACACACACACACACGCACATATATATATATAACTATCCTATTGATTTTTTTTCTGGGGAAGCCTGACTAATACAAATTTGGATGTTTGTTTGTGGGGCAAGAAGAATGTTAGCTATTATAGTATTTCATGTGTGAGTTCACAATGCCTTGCTTTGGTAGAGTAGTGTTGGACGTTGAGGGAAGTGGATTGAAGAGTCAATTAAGAACCAAAATACTTAGAGCTTGGTATTGCATTGGGTATTAAAGGCATGAGAGAAGGACAATCAGACTCCTGGATTTCTGAATTGCACATCTAGATGCATGGTAGTGCTGATCACTGACTGGTACCACTCTGGAAAAGGACTAGTTTAGAAAGAAGGGGTAAGTTTGAACACATTGAGCATTATGTTTTTGATAGATCCAAAAGTGCTACATTAGTGTCTCCATCTAAAGATCTAGATAGCAGATGAAGACTTAGACAAGATATAAATTTGACAGTCAGCTTCTAATAAGTGGTAATTGAAGAAGTGGGCATAGATGAAAATATATAATAGAGAGGAGATAGCTAGGGCTAAGCCTTGAAAAGCTGCAACATTAAATGATAGGATGGAAGACCAGAAATCTATTTAAATTTTAAATATATCTTAAGGTTTTACAGTTTTACATTATGATACAACATACTGGACTAACGTGTTTGAAGGTTTATGTAAAGTGTCATAGGAGCAAGGGATGATCTCATTTCTGATTTGATTATTCTTCCTTCATTCTTCAAGGGAAAAATTGGTCATTTGCATTATTTTCTTATTTTTTCATTAATCAAGAAATCAGGACATGATGTTGTGTGTCACATCAGTACTTGCATTCAGGTCCTAATTTCTTACTTGAAAATCATCTTTGAATAGCATTTCCTGAGCATAATGCATGAGCAAGTTAGAGGCTTTTCCAAATTTATCAAGAACCTACCCCAAAGCTAATTTTATAGGATATTTTGAAAGTTATTTTTGTGGTTTCTTATGTAAGTGCTGCAGGAACAAAATCAAAAGGATTTACTATGCCCCTGAAAGAATTAATTTATAAAGTTGGTAGAGTTCTCCAGATATACAAGTTCTGTGAATACATACATATCTTGAATTTTATCAGACATATTGACTAATATTGGTCTCGAACATTATTGGATTTATGATTTGGTGTTGATACATAAAATTACACACAAAAAAATTCTATTCAATCTGAGCACAATACTGACTTATTGACTTATTTGTTCAACAAACTATTTATAATCTAAAATGTTCGGGGTACCCTATGAGACAACAGTATGCAAATATAATTAAGACACAGTTCCTGTGCCATTAATAAGCTCACAATCAGATAGATAGATATGTTTAACAAATGTGTTGTAATACTCAATAAAGATAGTTTATTCTCAGAATAAACAAGAGGAGATAATTCGTCTTGAAATGGGATAGAGCCAACAGTGAGGGAGTTTTTAAAGGATTAGAAAATATTAACCAAACTAAGAGGGAATGACAGGAACTGCATTTCAGGCAGATTAGCATTGCCAAAAACACAAAGGCATGACATATTTTGGTTCTCATCAAGATTACAATTGCATAAAATGAAGGCAAAAAATGGAAAGATATGGATGGTAAAGTTCACATTATAGAGTGAAGTAAATGGTAATCAGGAAATTGGTAATTATCTGATGGCAACAAACAGCTACAGAATAGATTTCAGTAGAAAAGTTATAATAATTAGATTTCCACAGTAGAAAATATTGATATTTAAGAAACAAATCTGAGTTAACACAACTGCTGGCATGTGGTATTCGTATTGCAATCCTTTCTATTGCTAGTTTTGTGGGTTTGTTTTGTTTTGTTTTGTTTTGAGACATAGTTTCCATCTGTAGCCCAGGCTGGAGTGCAATGGTGCAATCTTGGCAAACTGCAACCTCCTCCTCCTGGGCTCAAGTGATTTTCATGTCTCGGCCTCTGAAATAGTTGAGATTACAGTCATGCAACACCATGCCTGGCTAATTATTGTATTTTCAGTAGAAACAGCATTTTGTCATGTTGGTATGGCTGGTGTCAAACTCCTGGCCTGAAGTGATTCATCTGCCTCGGCCTCCCAAAGTGCTGAAATTACAGGTGTGAGCCACGGTGCCCAGCCTGTTGCTTTCAAATTCATGATTATTAAGGGAACGTGATGCATTATTTTACTGTTCACCAAAAATCTTACTCTGTGGCTCATGGGAACAATTATGTGGCTGTCTTTGGCTTAAAAAAAAAAGAAAAAGAAAACAATAATGTACTTCCAGACACAAAACATAAATTTTAAGAATTAATATGTGGCATACTTAATCTCTTTCTCCTTTATCATAAGTGGCAATGTGATGGTAAGTTACTGAGGTGTTTGGATTGTTTGTCACTGCACAATCTAGGAGATCTTGGCTGATATAGAAGGTTTGTCGTTGTAGTGATGCTTCCTCTCAGACTGGGAACTTTTTAGTAGCCTGCTTGATCTTACTAGTCAGGTAGCAATATAGTCTATGTAATGTTGCTTCTCCCAAATAAGCTAAATGATATAGAGAGTAGCGATTAAAGACAAATGAGATTCTACCACCAGTTACATTGTTATTTATGATGATGAGAAATTGATTTGTGTTCTGTATTTCTACAGAACATTTGGATGCAAAGGAATATACTTATTCATTTACAGTCAATTCTCTTTTTTCACTGTAGGTATACTTTATAAAGTCACCACGCACACTGAATTAGTGACTACTGAACTGCTGTTTTAAGGGGAACTACAGAATTAGATGCCTGGAAGACAATGGTCACACACTTCATCAACCAAAACACCATTTGAGTTGTATGGGTAATTCACTCATGTTAAACACATCAGTCTCATCAGCATTGAAAACCTGCTCTTCCACAGAATGCTTTTTCTGTATAACACTATTTTCTAAATTCCTTTATAGTCTCCTGATCTGTAGAAACTACATTCTGTAATTTTAGCATTTTTCATGCCATAGCACCTTTTGAAACATGAGAGCCAGTCCACACAAGCAGAGAAAGGTTTAGTAATTTCCTGATACCAGGTAACATGATCATAAATTTATTTGGTTTTCAGTGTCATCATGCTATCCACTGTCTTTTTTAATCAATTGAATTAAAATTTTAAGGCTTTTTAAATCTTTACCATAGCTTCATCACATACTGTAGAAATTACTTTAGCATTTTCTAGAGCATTCTCATGTACAGATTGATAAATTTCTTCTGTCCTCTTATGGATGTATCATATTGTTCATTCATTAACATTGAACTCATGGCCAACCATACTATAACTCATGTCTGAACAAAACTTACCTAAAACAAACTCTCTCCACGTGGCACAGTACTGCCTTCTTGCATTTGGTGACATTAGACAGCACTTCAGCACTATGCTTGGGGGCTATTTAAACAGCAAAAATCACCTAAAAACTCACAAAAATACAAAAAATGCGGCAATAAGTAGACCTCAAAATGAACACTTGTTTGCCATATGAGCAAAACTTGAAACAAAAAGGCAGATTCACCTTGTTCAACCTCAGTTGGGAACATGCCCCTCAAGGAACTCAAACTTTTGGCTACTCTACACATGTCTGCAAATGACCCCAAAGCCCACAAGTGTTAATTTTGGGGCTACAAAGACATTTTAATGAGTAGAAAAAATTACAAATATAGAATCTGTGTATAGTGGGGATTTCTGTTTCTTTATTAAATATATTGACTTGCATCTGTTGAACAAGACTAAATCAATACCATGGATGTACTGTGGAAAATAGGGCCACAACGTAATGAAGGTGTGGCCACCTAAATTCTAGAGTTCACATTTAATAAAAAAGGGAAAAAACCATGATGTCAAATTAAGTTTATTAAATTAGGCTAATGTTTTTCAGCTACCAAGTAATTAGAAACAACTACATGTATATCTGTTGGTGTTTAATAAAATAAATGCATTAACTACAGCATACTTTCCAAGCAGAAACAGTGTCGCAAACTCTCATTACATACAAAAAAGCATCCAGTCCACTAACAAAGATTCATCAACATTTGGCAACAACCAAATATATATCGGGTAAATTATATAATTGATATAATTACATATATAGTGTGAGAAACTAAGTTTGTGGCTGTACATTTGATCCTAGCATCTGACTGAGAAATGCAGAAAGTTAAGCAAAGAAGTATGTTTTTAATATGCCTTACAGAAAGTATTGTAGGGAGTTATATCAGGTCTAAAAGATAGCAAGCATACAACTAAAGCAAAAGTATGGGACAGCAATGGAATTTAGATGAATGGATTACACCAAACAGGTGTTTACTTACTTATTTGTCATTACAGGCATGTAATAATCGACAATAAAATTGTGGCTCCACACTGTGTGAGTTCTTACACAAATGTCAAATTTCTTAAGCTTTGAAGAATTTAGTGTCAATCAATCTGAAGAAAAGACACTGTTGATTTTGATCGACAACCAACTGATTTTAACAGAATATGATATCTAACTTGTCACATCGCAGATTAGATGAATGATTAACTTTGCCTTCCCAAATACAAAAAGATAAAAGTCAATGAAGTATGCTTTCTGCACCGTTATAAAAAACACTGGCATATTAGAATGACATCAATTGTGAAATGAAGGACTTTCTTCACTTTCTGCTGGTAGCAGGATTTTCCAAAATCAACTCCTCAGCATCAGGAGTTTTGACAGCTCTGAAGGGGGGGAAAAAGCATTTCTATTCTCAATAGAAAGTATAACCACAGGTATTGATGCAGTTATAGCTTGAAAGCATATTTTCACGCATTGAAAATGACTCAGTGGGGAAATGGTGTGGGTTTAAGTTTTGATAATGCCACAGCAAAGAACAGAACAAGAAACTTAAATTATATGCACTTCAGGAAAGTAAGATTCTACATTTACTTTGCAACTCTTGACAGGTAGAGCTATATTTGACCCTTGGTTGACACGTACAACCCCCACAACATTGACTAGATTACAGTTTACTTGTTGGAAATTGCACTGCTAGCCGTGGTTAGCAACATTGAAGAGCCATGAGAGAGGTTGTATGAGACAAAAATAAGACATCCTCCTCTAAGTCATTTTTCAAGAAATTATCCCGACATTTTTATTCTCGTTGCCTCTACACTCTCCTATGCTATAAGCTCCACACTGTATATGATTTTCATTCCATGCTTGTCAAAGCCAAAGATTCAAAGAAAGGAGAAAACAACAACAAAAAGTACCAAGTACCTTCCCACAATGTTTCACAGCACGCAGAAAAAAGGGTGAGATACTGGATTTTTGTCCCAGTGGATTTAGAGATAAATTCTTGTCCTTTGACATGGAATCTGGTAAATACAAACTAACTAGTATAGTGGTTACTACTGGCTGTTTACATGAAAATATCTTTGAATTGTATCATTCCATTTAAACTCCCTTTCTAGAGTCATATAACCACCAGGGGAATCATGTTGGTGAATTTTGAGAACACACCCACAGTCACAGTTTCTCCCAGGATGTCCTAGGAGAAGGCAGGTAAGGGACTTAGCATTCCTGTTCCATCAGTTATAGTCAGCAATGAAGAGCTGGAGAGAGGACTTGCCCTTCTTTAGACCAAGATGAAGTCTAGGATTTAGCAGATCTCTGGGAAAATCCAGATAGCAGAAAACCGTAAAATCCCTGGAGAAAAGAACAGCCTGCTTGCTGTTTATGATCCAGGGGGACCCACCCCTGACCTGCAGGATAACTTCAGGATTACACCTCTGTCCTCTGGTTGGGAAAGGCTTTGATTTACACACAAGAAAATCAGGTCACATCAGGATTCTTTCTCATTCCTCAGTAGAAGGGTAATTCTCTCCAGTTTGTTATCAACTAAATCGCAAGCACATACATTTCTATGCTTTTATTCCAAAATTTACCTGCTATTTTATAGACTCACATAGTTGCTGATAAAACATTTAAAAGTAAAATAATATATTATTTGAAAAGACTGGGGGAAAATCAAGTTTAATTTGAAGTCCCCAAAATGAAATACACATGGAGAAGAAATTAGAGTACAAAATGTATTCAACAACACATATTATATAATTTTTGAGTGTAAAAACTCAAGCAAGGAATGGGAAATTAGAAGGATCACTGCCAAGATGAGATCTTGTAATCCTGAAGATCAAGTAGAAAACAAAATTTTACAACAATAATAGAAAATAATTTTACAGCACTAATAAAAAGGAATGCAGCTGAGCACAGTGGCTCACATCAGTAATCTCCAGAGAGGAGGATTACTAGAGGCCAGGAGTTTGAGACTAGCCTGGGAAAACACAGTAAGATCCTCATTTCTTAAAAAAAAAAAATTAGCCAGGCATGGCGACAAGCATCTGTTGTCCTCATTCCCTGTAGTCCTCATTTGTCAGCAGGCTGAGGTTAAAGAAACACTTGAAATTTTAGAGTGATCTGTGATAATGATTGTGCCACTGCACTCCTGCCTGGGCAGCAGAGTAAGACCCTGTCTTAAAAAATAAATAAAACAGGGGGAGGACTCAAGATGGCGTTGTGAGAACAACCCAGGATTGGAGCTCCCGTTGTGTCCACGGAGAGGTGAGTCTGAGCTGCATTTCCAGACTGATCTTTGTTGCCCACGGAACGGGGAAATCCCCAAGTGAAGTGGAGACACGGTACGCCAGGCCGAACCTCCGCCTGGCGAAGCCAGCAGCCGGGGTGGCGGCGGCCGGCCCTACCCAGCGCTCCCCACAGGGCACACCTGTCTGGGTGCCCCATTGAACCGGCAACAGGAGACGTGAGAGGGCTGGACTTGAGACTGAGCTAGACTTGGACAGTGAACCAGCCCAGGGGATTGCAGGGACAGAGCGTTAGGGGTGGCCCAGTGGGACGAACAAAACCGCGATTTCAAACAAGCCCCGTGCAGACGGCCCGAGACGCTCTGAGGGGGAGGGGCGTCCACCATTGCCGAGGCAACCCGTCCCAACTGAGATACACACCCATTGCTAACGCAGCCAGCCGTTGCCGAGGCAACCCGTCCCTACTGAGATACACGCCCACTGCTGACGCAGCCTGACGTTGCTAAGGCAACCCGCGACAACAGAGAGACTCCGCCACAGGGCATGGCAGAGAATACAGTAGAACAGCAGAGCCAGGGCGAGCCTCAGATCAGCAGGGCGGAGCCTCGGCAGGCAAACAGTGGCTAGTCTGAGTCCTAGCTGGGCAGGACCTCAACGGACATCCAAAAATAAAGCCCAAACCCCTCAACACAGAGCATTTGAGAAAAAAAAAAGGGTTTTTTTTAATGAGCTCTGTTGCAGCAGAATCAAACATAGCAGCCTAACAGCCCTGAATGAACAACAGAGCTCACAGCTCAGCAATTAAGCTCCACAAACTGTCTCCTCAAGCAGCTCCCTGACCCCTCTATATCCAAAAGACTGACAATAGGCAGGCATCATCCTGGGACAAAGATAGCAGAAAAAGAAACTGGTAGCATCCCTCACTGTGCCACAGCTGCTAGAGGTGCACCCCAGAAAAGCAGGGTCTGGAGCGGACCTCAGCAGTTGTACAGCGAAGGGGCTAGACTGGTAGAAGGAAAACCAAGCAACAGAAATACTTCATCATCAACATTCTGGGTGTCCACTCAGAGACCCAATCGAAAGTCAGCAACTACGCAGACGACCAGCGGACAAATCCACAAAGATGGGAAGAAACCAGCGCAAAAAGGAGGAAAACACCCGAAACCAGAACACCTCACCTCCTAGAAAGGACCAAAACTCCTCACCAGCAAGGGAACGAAGCTGGACGGAGAATGACGGTGACAAAATGACGGAATTAGACTTCAGAAGATGGATAATGAGAAACTTTTGTGAGCTAAAAGATCATGTATTAAATCAATGCAAAGAAACTAAGAACCTTGAAAAAAGATTTGAAAAAAGATTCGAGGAAATGATAACAAGAATGGATAACTTAGAGAGGAATATGAATGAATTAAAGGAGCTGAAAAACACAATACGAGAACTTCGCGAAGCAAACACAAGTTTCAATAGCCGAATTGACCAAGCAGAAGAAAGAATATCTGAAGTCGAAGACCAACTCAATGAAATAAAATGAGAAACCAAGATTAGAGAAAAAAGCGCAAAAAGGAATGAACAAAGTCTCCAAGAAATGTGGGACTATGTGAAAAGACCTAACCTACGTTTGATAGGTGTACCAGAAGGGGACGAAGAGAATGAATCCAAGCTGGAAAATACTCTTCAGGACATCATCCAGGAAAATTTCCCCCACCTAGCAAGACAGGCCAACACTCAATTGCAGGAAATACAGAGAACACCACAAAGATATTCCGCAAGAAGAGCAACCCCAAGGCACATAATGGTCAGATTCAACAGGGTTGAAATAAAGGAGAGAATACTAAGGGCAGCCAGAGAGAAAGGTCCAGTCACCCGCAAAGGGAAGCCCATCAGACTCACAGCAGATCTCTCGGCAGAAACACTACAAGCCAGAAGAGAGTGGGGGCCAATATTCAACATTCTTAAAGAAAAGAACTTTCAACCCAGAATTTCATATCCAGCCAAACTGAGCTTCAGAAGTGAAGGAAAAATAAAATCCTTTGCGAACAAGCAAGTACTCAGAGATTTTGTCACCACCAGGCCTGCTTTACAAGAGCTCCTAAAAGAGGCACTACACATAGAAAGGATCAACCAGTACCAGCCATTCCAAAATCACACTAAATGCTAAAGAGCATCAGCATAATGAAGAATCTACAACAACTAACAGGCAAAACAGCCAGCTAGCATCAAAATGGCAGTATCAAATTCACACATAACAATATTAACCCTAAATGTAAATGGACTAAATGCACCAATCAAAAGACACAGACTGGCAAATTGGATAAAAATCCAAAACCCATCAGTGTGCTGTATCCAGGAAACCCATCTCACATGCAAGGATACACAAAGGCTCAAAATAAAGGGATGGAGGAAGATTTACCAAGCTAATGGAAAGCAAAAAAAAAGCAGGAGTTGCAATTCTCATCTCTGATAAAATAGACTTTAAAGCAACAAAGATCAAAAGAGACAAAGAAGGCCATTACATAATGGTAAAAGGATCGATACAACAAGAAGAGCTAACGATCCTAAACATATATGGACCCAATGCAGGAGCACCCAGATACATAAGGCAAGTTCTTAATGACTTACAAAAGGACTTAGACTCCCACACAATAATAGTGGGAGACTTTAACACTCCACTGTCAATACTAGACAGATCAACCAGACAGAAAATCAACAAGGATATCCAGGGCTTGAACTCAGACCTGGAGCAAGCAAACCTGATAGACATTTACAGAACTCTCCACCCCAAATCCACAGAATACACATTCTTCTCAGCACCACATCACACCTACTCTAAAACTGACCACATAATTGGAAGTAAAGCACTGCTCAACAAATGCAAAACAACTGAAATCATAACAAACAGCCTCTCAGACCATAGTGCAATCAAGTTAGAACTCAGAATTCAGAAACCAACCCAGAACCGCACAGCTTCATGAAAATTGAACAACTGGCTCTTGAATGTTGACTGGGTAAACAATGAAATGAAGGCAGAAATAAAGAAGTTCTTCGAAACCAATGAGAACGAAGACACAACGTGCCAGATCCTCTGGGACACATTTAAAGCAGTCTCTAGAGGAAAGTATATAGCAATAAGTGCCCATATGAGGAGAATGGAGAGATCCAAAATTGACACCCTATCATCAAAATTGAAAGAGCTAGAGGAGCAAGATCAAAAAAACTCAAAACCCAGCAGAAGACAAGAAATAACTAAGATCAGAGCTGAGCTGAAGGAGATTGAGACACAAAAAACCCTTCAAAAAATCAATAAATCCAAGAGCTGGTTTTTTGAAAAGATCAACAAAATAGACAGACCACTAGCTAGATTGATTAAAAATAAAAGAGAGAACAGCCAAATAGATGCAATAAAAAACGATAAAGGGGAAATCACCACAGATTCCACAGAAATTCAAACCATCATCAGAGAATATTACAAACAACTATATGCACATAAACTAGTAAACCTGGAAGAAATGGATAAATTCCTGGACTCCTGTGTCCTCCCAAGCCTAAACCAGGAGGAAGCTGAAACTATGAATAGCAATAACAAGGTCTGAAGTTGAGGCAGCAATTAAGAGCCTACCACACAAAAAAAGCCCAGGTCCAGATGGGTTCACAGCCGAATTCTACCAGACACACAAGGAGGAGCTGGTACCATACCTTCTAAAACTATTTCAAACAATCCAAAAAGAGGGAATCCTTCCCAAATCATTTTATGAGACCAACATCATTCTGATACGAAAACCCGGCAGAGACCCAACGAGAAAAGAAAACTTCAGGCCAATATCCATGATGAACATAGATGCAAAAATATTCAATAAAATATTGGCAAGCCGATTGCAACAGCAAATCAAAAAACTTATTCATCATGATCAAGTAGGATTCATCCCGGGGATGCAAGGCTGGTTCAACCTACGCAAGTCTATCAACGTAATTCACCACATAAACAGAACCAAAAACAAAAACCCCATGATTATCTCAATTGACGCAGAGAAGGCATTTGACAAAATTCAACAGCCCTTTATGCTAAAAACCCTCAATAAACTCGGTATCGATGGAACGTATCTC